GTGTTTGCTTGGTCCATTTCTGGCCAGATCGTTCTGTCACAAACGAGCTGAGGACCAAAATGCAAAACACGGGGAAACCAGGGATAGTCTGTAACCAGCTTTATTGAAGTCAATAACTGGTAGGAGACGAAAAGGCAGGTAGTAGGCAAAGGGCTGCTCGGGGACAGGCGAGGGTTCCAGGAGAAGGCAAGACGGGAGTCGCAGGTACCGACCGGGTCAGGGAGCAGGCGTGGCAGAATAGTCCGGGTACAGGCAGGGTCAGGAATCAGGCGAGGCAGGCAGGTCAGGGACAGGCAGGGTCGGAACCGGGAGAGCAATCTGGGAAGTAATGCTGGAAAGACTGGCATGCTGCAAAGTACGATCTGGCACTGAGGTGAGAGTGAAGTGGGCCTATATACTACTGGAGCTGATGGGTGTAACAGAGTGAAAGAGAGACAGGGTGTGGCTACCAGGTGACTAAGGAATGTTAATGCAGAAAATAGGTGAGTGAGAAAGCAGACTGTGACATTATCAGTTCTGGTAATAACTACGTCTGAAAGCAGAGGTCTAGGGCAAACAATTGAAAGCAAATATTCAACAATTACACCAATTGTATTGTATATAATATTCTTTGCAAGCTCTTGCGGGCCGCATAAAATAAGGTCAGGGGCCGGATTTGGCTTCCGGGCCTTGAGTTTGACAGCCCTGATCTAAGGCATTGTCTTTCACGCTGTAGCATGTTAGATTCTTATTTCCTTAAATCACAGGAGGAAATTGAAATCATGACAGCATGTCGGTGAAGAGAACATAGAACAAGCAAATCCATCTTTATGGAACAGGCTGGTTTGAGGATTCACTGAATGGCTCTATGCATGTGTAAAAAAAAAGGGGGTACAATGCCTGTATGGTTAATATTCATATGAGAATTTCATCAAAGAGAAAATATACCAAGATATATGGGAAATTAATGTTCGTAATAATACTTTACTGTAACCTATGCTGGCGTTTCAGATCTCCGAGTCAAATATAAAGGATAAATGAACTTACCATAAGTCTCAAAGCAGCTGAGATCAAAGCGCTCAGAATATGCAAAGTGCAGAAGTTCTATGTTATATCTGATATCTGCTTTCTTTCCTGCTACTACCACAGCCAAGCAGAGGAAGACAGGTGTTATTCATTATGTCATTTTGGGGCTTTCTACCTCAACCTTTAGGAAGTTTGTTACTAAAATGTCAGTGGGGATTGTTTTCAGTAGCGCACTAATGCTGATAGCTGAGATCCAGAAAAAAACAAGCTTAAGGTCAATAACACAAGCGAAATATTTTCACGTAATTAATTATTTGCATCTTTGTAACAACAGTGGAATATGACTCTTTGTGGAGGCAGGGCATATCTGGAAGTTGTTTTTAACCCTTGTGTTGTGTTCGAAAGCTGTTACTGTTCATGGTGTTCGCGGGTCAATTTTGACCCATGATTTATTTCAGTCCAAAACACACAAAAATAATGACTATCATCCAATATTGTTTGAACTACATCATAACTAACCGTACAATCCTGTTGTAATTTAATTGTATGGCCCCAAAACACATTACACCACATAGTGCACACGTGCATGTGTGAGTTCAGGTTCAAGTGTTATGGCGCGTTTCCACTACAGCACGGAGCACGGTTTAAGAGGGCTGTGACGTCAGCGGCCCGTTTTTGGTTGCGTTTCCACTTGGCCTAGGACCGGCCGGCGAGTCCTAATTCACAGTTTTTCTGGCCTCATAAAATCGTGGGTCTAGGGCCAGAGACAACGAGGCTGAGTCGGGCTGAGTATGCTAAACTAGAGAGAGAATCGCTGGCAAGGGGGCTACAACTACAACAAGATGGACATATTTGACCGTGATTTAATTGTAATACACGTTTCAAAATGATGCCGAAGTAACAACATACTGATACCGGTTAGTAAAAACCATGAATTAATGCTTTGTCAAGTCTGCAAACAGACGGCAGGCGAAAAACCTTTTAAAATGCGTGTTTTCTAAATGGAGATTGGCTAAGCTAACGCAGTATATGCTCCGACCGTCCACACTCACAACAACGGCCTATACAGACATAAATAAAGCAGCGACTGTATTCGCCATGACACAGACGGTCTGTGGTTTGTACTTGTTTAACTTTTGTCTAGTTTCTGAACAGATATGAGGAGCTGTGAGCTCTGAGTGCTAACAGCTAACGGCTGATGTTGTTTTTCTGGGGTTCTCATTGAAGATGACGTCACGGCTCCGCCTACACTGCGTTACTATAGATACTACCCCAGTTCCTAAACTGTAATGGAAATGCGCCATAAAGTGAGCCAGTCCTAACGAGGCCTAGCCATACCGAGCGAGGCCGAGCGAGGCCGTGTAGTGGAAACGCGCCATTAGTGTACATATTCTTTGAGAAAGGTCGAGTTCCTGTGGGGGGAGGGGGGCCAGAGGGAGGGGAGGCCAGGTGCATGTTGCGAAAAATTATTGTTACAGTGGATGAAGGGGGTGGGGGAGGAGTGTCTAAAGTCAAAGATGAATCTTGATTGGGCCAAATTTGACCCCGAGTCACCCACAACAATTCTGCTGGGTCTTCCCAGACCCGAACACCAAATTATACACTTTTTTTTTTAGAGACCTTCAGACTTGGCTAAAATTGTCAACATCTGTTTTGTAGTGTTTATATAGCTGTTGTGGAGGATATCATGAAGCCATGTTCCGATAAAAAAAACTAGAGCGTAGTTATTATATCATTTTAACTTGAGACGGGTCACGGGAGACCCGAACACAACATAAGGGTTAATCCAGTTATTAAAGGTGTGGAATTAATTGAGTCTGCAAACAAAGAAATGATAAAGAAAGTACAAACAGATAGAGTAAAGGTCAGCTGGTAATGTTGTTTAAAAGCCAAAGCTACAATTAATTTGAAATAATTATTCTTTCTTTGTTGTAAAATTAACTTGTCACTTTATGTTATGTTGAGCTTTACCCTTTCACACCTTTTTCACATTGTTCCCTGCCAATGTCACCTTTCGTTTTCATTCACATGGCTTATTTATTAATTTTCTTAAAAAACTCCATCTCACAGAGGACCAAATTGAGTCATTAAGGGGGCAAATGTATTTACATGTTTATCATTTAATTAAATAACAATTATAATTGCAGCCACAGGAAGAACGTAGTTTTTGAATGGCATTTCTCAGCTGCCACATTCATGTTTAGCACAACAAAGCTTCCTCCCTGCTGTGCCATTTAATTTTCACATGACCAATATTAAGATAAAAACCATCAGGGAGTCTTTAATGTCTAAATAAATATATATATATATATTCACTGTGTGTAAAATAAAAACATCTCTTTGAAGAGCATTGGTGTGTTTCCATATCAAATGACTCACTCTCAGCGGGTTTAAGTTATTTCATTTAGTATTAATAACATCAAGGAGTGACTGATGAAGCATTGGTGAATTCCTCTGATGATTACAGTAATAAGTCCAACCAGCACTTGTCCTCAAACTATTGTGATGGATTTAAAAGAGGACAAAGAAAAAGTATAAAACATGGGATCGGGATTTATGTGTGCTTTGTTGAGCTTTGCAAACACGCGTTTTCCATGAGATGTAACATAAAAAGCCCAGAGATAACTGCCTAGTGTACAACTATCCATACTGAAAATATCAATTAATAGGTAAAAAAACTATTATCCAATTTTACTGTATGATTTGTGGTCATATATTAAGATATTTATTCACAGCATAATTGTATGGTAATCAGCGTATTTTATTACTTGTTGAGCATGAACATAAAGACTGGAAACAGCTTAATCTGGAGAAAAATTGAAATGTTTAAAAACAGAAATACGCCTCCGTAGGGCAAATTGAAATAGTGGAGACTCTAGGAGCCCCTCGCTATGACATAATTGGAACAAAACGCAAGGTAATTCAGCTTGCAAATCGTCATTTTTAAAGTTAAACAAACAAAATAGTGAACCGCACATGCAATCATCCTGTGCGTACCCATCACTTACACATTGGACCCTTGTGTAATCAGGAATGACTGTTAATATTACCATAATAATGAAACCACTACTGCTCTATATATAAATATGTATGTGTGTGTTTGGATTATTGTGGTTTGGTGTTCTTCAGGATTTCACTGAAATGCCTCTTGTCTAACAATGCAGTGTGACAATGTGTATTGATTTTCTATATATTCAGCATGTAAAATGGGCAATACATTTGTTTCTCACAGTTTTTCTGTCTTGATAACAAAGCAGGTGGCTCTCTGCTCTGCAATTACCACATTTCTAACGGTTCAGAACTTATGAAGGCATGATTGAATGTTAGTGGATTCATCAATGATCCTTTTTTATGCATAGATTTCCAAGATTGATTGGCTATCTGTGTGCAATTAGTCATCCATCTCTGTACCGTAGTGCATTGTTTCTTCACCTGGGGGTGACAACATCATTTCTGAAAGGATGCAAGAGGGTTGTGGAAGCAATCACAGCAATGACTCAATCAATCAGCTGTTCACACAGGTTTGCAGCGCTTTCTCCTCGCCCCATTTCTTTCCCTTGGTGAATCACGTCCCAGCCTTTCCCCTTCTCTCTGTGGACAGCTATAGGGGATTACATTTGACCTATACACGTCTTTTTCATATGGACATTAACGCACCTACACATGTATTCTGGAGGGTCTTGGCTCGAAAAGGCTAAAAGCCCCTACAGAAGTAGACCAGAAGCCTTTCATGTAGGTCATGTTTAAACATTTTCTCACTTCTAAGACATGGCGGTTCCCTTTGAAGAGAACTGCTTTGAAAAGACCTGCTTTATCAGTCTTGGTGTCTATGTTGCATGTTCAAATCAATTCAGCTGGCATTGTGCTCACATTTCTGATTAAGAAGGCTCAAGGGGTGATCAGTCACATTGTATTTTAGCCTCTTATAGCGCGCTAGATAAACACACACCTTTACTCTTCTTCTGAATAGTTAATTACAGCTTTCCTTTCCACAGGCGCAGACGGGCTGATGGGCATCTACCTCTTCATGATTGGCGCGTATGATCTGAAGTACCGCGGCGAATACAACCGGCACGCTCAGGCCTGGATGGACAGCAGTCAGTGTCAGGTCATCGGATCTTTGGCCATGCTGTCCACCGAGGTGTCCGTCCTTCTCCTCACTTACCTCACTCTGGAGAAATACATATGCATCGTGTACCCTTTCCAGTACCTGACGCCTGGCTGGAGACGAACTGTCACCATCCTTCTCGGGATATGGGTGTTCGGCTTTATCATTGCCCTTCTGCCGCTGGTCTGCAAGGGGCTGTTTCGCAACTTCTACGGCACCAATGGAGTTTGCTTCCCGCTTCACTCTGAGCAGCCAGAGACAGCTTGGGCTCATGTGTACTCCATCGTCATTTTCCTGGGTGAGGATTTAATCTTGCTATTAGTTTTTCCCTTGTTTGCTTGTTGATTTTCTTCACTTCTCACTGAAGCTTTTTGTACCAACTGTCTCATTATCCAGTGACAATATCTGTATTATTTTGCAGATTATTGGCTTTTTTGTTGTTATTGTTCAGCCACAGTGGACATATGAGCTTTTCCAATTGCATTGCAAAGAAACTAAGTGAATATCTCTCCGCAGGTCTCAACTTGGTGGCGTTTCTCATCATTGTCTTATCCTATGCAAGCATGTTCTATAACATCCAGAGAACAGGGACTCAAACCACCAAATACAGCAACCACATCAAGAAAGAGGTGACCATCGCCAAGAGGTTCTTCTCTATCGTCATCACTGACTCCCTTTGCTGGATCCCCATCTTCATTCTCAAGATCCTGTCGCTGCTGCAGGTGGAGATTCCTGGTACAGTAAAACGTTAACTTTTATAGGAATGCTCAGATGAAAGTTTACGTGTTGAGTATCAAAAATAGCCCTTCAGTAGGCTAGAGAAGTGGCTCAGAAAAGTTTGTAGCTTGCATATGTTGTGCAGTAACGACAGCCATAGTGTGATTAAATCCCAATATTTACATTGGGTAAAAAGCTTTGAAATGGCCATAACAATGTCTCAAACCGCTTCTGCATAAACCACTTATCAGCTGTTGATTCCTGTGCAAATAGGTCCCCCAATCTGTATCACTTCTGCTGAACTGTTTTGCTATGACAAAACTGCATGACACAGAAATAAAGTACACACTATTAAGAGCCTCCTTTCAAGTTTACAGGCAGATCCGAAGAGAGACATTTGGTTGAGTTTGTCTCTTAAGTGAATTGCCTTGTCTGTTTACACTTCAAAGTGGTCAAGCAGGTATTCCCACTAAGGCCCCAGCTCCACGGGAACCCATACGGCAAAACGCATCGGAGTAACGCAAACGCAACCGCATTCCGCCCACACGCAATATACACCGGATTGTGTCAAGCTCCACGAGACGGCTCCGTTTACATCCAACCGCTGGAAAAGCTGCAGTACATATGCCGAGCCTGTACGTGGCGCTGTAACTTCATCCACAAAAGCAGCAACTTCCTCCACAAAAGCAGCGAAGAAGAATGGTTGTCATGGCTGCACTTCTGTGTATTCTCCGCGGTGGGGGCCAAGGGATCCGGGCAGAGTTTTTCGCCGGTCAACGTGTGTTAAAGTTTAAATCTTCCGGACAAAATTATAAAAGTGCCGGTCAAAGGTCTTCTTTGTTATGTATTGAGCTTTAAAACAAATGAATAACGACGATATAATGGTATATGATCATAAAATACACAGAGCCTGTCTCTTTTTCCTCTCTTCTCACAGCGTCAGTGTCTGTCTCATGCAGCAGCTGATCCAGTAATGATGACTCGACAGTCAAAATAAACATATTTATAACTAGTTTAGGTAGTTTGAGAGGTAATTAAAATAGCTATTGTTGTTGTTAACGAAACACATCAGCAATGATGCGGGGTACGCGAAGAGGTGGGGAGAGGCGGGGAGAGGCGGGGCTATGAAACGGATGACCGTATAGGCGACCCCACGGCCCCGTTGGACCCCCCAGAGCGCTCCGTTCCCAGATCTATCCACCTTTGGACCCGTTGTCGTTTGCGGGGTCTGTTTCTACGTTTCCGTTACGGCGTCGTCAAGCTTAAAGGGCTATACGCATGAGAAATATGCGGATTCAACCCGTTTTCGTCCCCGTGGAGCCTACGCCTAAGTTGTGGATTGTTTTGAAGCTTTTTAATGACTTTATAAACAGTGAGCCACCTTTGAGCAGTTTGTATACCCAAATGACCCATTAGTGTTGTGCATAATCCATTATATAAATAACCTGCTGAGCTGTGGCTCCCTAATTAGGTCCCCTGTAGGGATAAAGGGGATTTTCATTTAATATACAAATGGGTATGATAAAAGGTCTTGTGTTGAAGTAGCCTCCCAATTCATAACAATGTCCACCTAATCATCTTTAAACTTTACTTTTTAACAGCTCTGTACTTGTGTTTTCTGTCTCTGAAGGTACCATCAGTTCCTGGGTGGTCATATTTATTCTGCCCATTAACAGCGCCCTAAACCCCATCCTTTACACGCTGACCACACGGCCTTTCAAAGAGACTATTCTGCAGGTATGGGCAAACTACAGGCAGAGGAGGCCTCTGCTCAGCGGCCACCCAGCTCAACATCCATCTCTAACATGGCAAGAAATGTGGCCCCTGCAGGAAAACAGCAATGGCCCCACCACGGGTCACCCGCTGGAAACTACCGCCACGATAGCTAAGCTCACACCTGTGGAAAATACCAACGATGGATATAATGTCATCACCACATGCACACAACAAATACCGAAGAAGCATACAGTGCTGTCAGTATGCTCAAAGGATGAAGAAGTGCCACTCACACACACACAAACACACACACAAACACACACACAAACACAAGCAAACAATGTGGGTGTCGATTAGCATGTATCTGTTTATGAATAATTATCAAAGAGTCACCTAAACAGATTAAACGTGATTCATGTTCATTGATCTCAGTAATTATTCAGTCCCAGATCTGTGACCAGATGTATCCCTTGTGATTAAAAAATCATTAGTTTTCATTATTATCTTTGTAAATCCCACTGTGTGCATGTATTGCCCAAGCAGCAGCCATCACAGAAATGGATGAAGTCAGGGCAGAAATCCCTTATGTAGCAGTACAGCTCCTGTAATGAAGAAATCGGCTTCAAAAAGATATATATCACTGCTGGACAGAAGCTATTTCCCACTCAGTTTGGCTTTTGTTCCACCTAGCTTTCATTGCTCAGTTTAGTTTCCCCAGAAGGCTTCTTTCATCATTTTTTTCTTACAGCTGTTTATCCAGTCCATGTTCTGAGCTGAACGTACATCTATTGTTATCTAAGTAAACTTTTGACAATTATAATTTATAATGGTGATAAATCATACAAGTATTAGTTAGGATCAACTACAACTGTTAAAGCATTGTATAGCGCCTCTGTGGGTACTACTCATTAGATGTGTTGGTGAATGCTATAGTAGCGCAGTCTGTTGGTTCAAGTCCCCGAACCAGCAAAGTCTACATTTTACTGTGTGTGATGTGATGTGCATGATGTGACGATAGAAAAAGGATTTAATCCAAATCAAAATACTTTGAATATGTTGAGTGTTTAAGTTCATTATTGATATTTCAAATCTGGAAAGTCAACCCAAGATTGACTTTCCAGCTTTTATGCCCTTCACTCATCATGCCAGATGAGCGGCCATCTGTCTGGGGGCTTAAGGCCAGGAAAATGTGCCCATATATTATAAGACCTCCTTTCCCCACACACACACACACACACAACACACACACAACACACACACACACAACACACACACACACACACACACACACACACACACACACACACACACACACACACACACACACACACACACACACACACACACACACACACACACACACACACACACACACACACACACACACACAGGCACTGCTACTGTTTAAAAAAAATGTATATGTATTTACCTGCCCCATACTGTATTGTGTGTGTGTGTTGTTATTGTCTGTTTTACACTGTGTTGCAAGTATTGAGAAAAAAAAAAAATGTTATGTCATGTAATGGACAGTAACATTTTCTGATATAGTCTAAATGACATCAAACTGACCTCAACTGGCATTTGTTTTTTAAACTTCAGCAAGTTCATTGTAATTGTTTATTGCCTTCCTCCAAACCCTGAGGAAGGATGGACGCTCTCTGTTACCTCTGCCACCAAACATTTTATGTATGGAAATATTGAATGTATTGAATGACAAATGTCAAGTATGTTCAACAAAGAATGTAATTAACTTGGGTAAAAGAACATTTCCCAGCTGGTCTGGGGTTTGAACTTGACTCAACAAACCACCACACAGCAATGTTTCTACACTGATCTCTAGTGAAGACATTCATGAACTCTCCTGTATATACCTTGTTCAATGAATTACTGTTTCCTGTGGAAATGTACCTTTTAATTGATGTTGTAAATTACATTGTAAATGTATGAATGTATAACAAAAATACTATTAGAGAATAAATTTGTTGTAAATGCCACTTGTATTTACGTTACAATCCCATAATGTACATGCTGAATAGACAGAACCAACCGTTGAGATATGTTGATAATATCTGCAGGCATGCATTACATGTTGACGGGAAGACATGTTCTTAAATGTGTTGTAATTTAATTTGTTGTATTGTAACCTCGAGACTGGACTATTGTAACGCTCTGTATGTGGGTATGGACCAGGCCTCAATTAAACGCTTACAGCTAGTCCAAAACGCTGCTGCACGTTTGCTGACTGGCCACAAAAAGCGCGACCACATCACCCCTATTCTGGCCTCACTACACTGGCTTCCAGTTCGGTTCAGAATTGATTTTAAAATCCTTTTATTTGTTTTTAAAGCACTAAATGGGCTGGCTCCGGCCTATATAGCTGAACTGCTCCAGCGCTACACCCCAGCCAGAGCTTTAAGGTCTGCTGACCAGCTGCTGCTGGTAGTGCCCAAGACCAGGCTAAAAACCCGAGGGCACCGAGCCTTCGCAGCAGCTGGCCCTAGGCTCTGGAACACTCTGCCCCTCCATGTGAGGTCGGCCCAGACCCTAGGGGCTTTTAAATCTAAACTAAAAACACACTTCTTCTCTCTGGCTTTCTAGTTAGAGCGGAGCACGACTCCTGACTTTTCCGTGTGTTTTATTTTTATTTTGTTTTTAAGATATATCTGTTGTAATTTATTGTCGTTTATTGTGATTTGTAGTAATGTGTTTTTATTACATGTACAGCACTTTGGCTCGACCAAAAATCACTTTTAAATGTGCTATATAAATAAAACCTGATTTGATTTGATTTGATTTGACTGGTGTCCTTGTATGTAATTTATTTTTATTTTTATTTTCTTGACATGTGGATAGTAAATATACATGCTTCTGCTTGTTGACTTATTTATTTGAATTGCATTGGTTATTCATTACATTACATGTTACTTGTTAGACACTTTTATCCAAAGCGACTTACATACTCATTACTGTGGGCAATCCCCACAGGAGCAATTTGGAGTGAAGTGTCTTGCCCAGGGACACAACGACATGCTGACTGCAGTGGGGTTTGAACCTGTGCTCCCCTGATCCGAACACCAACGCCCTACTCACTGCGCCACACGCCTCCATTCATCCTATTAGTTTGGTCAGTTACACAGGTAATTAACTTAGGTTAAAGTGACACTACCAGGGCTGTATAATATGAGAAAAATATGTATAATGCAGTAACATTGCATACAGATATTACTAAAGATACATAAACATACGATTAAAAAAAAAAGATATTAATGTATATTTAGTTCTACCTTTCTGCTGCTTTCAGTATACTGCTAAAACAGAACAAATGCTTGTTCAATTAAAAGGAAATTAAAAGAAAAACATTACTTCTTCTTTGTAGTAATGCAATGTTGCATTCATTTGGAGTCACTAGATCCTATAATATGAGCGGTATTAAAAACCTAAAGACTAATATAAAACTGCTGGATTTTAATAAACATATTAATATAAAAAAGGAAGAAGCACTAACATTAAATGAAAAGAGGTGTGCCCTTTTTGAACACCTGTGGTAATGTGGAGTAAAGTTTTTCGCAAAAAAGTGAATGCAGGACTTATACTTGTAACAAAGTATTTCTACAATGTTCGTTGTATAACTAATTTCCTTTTAACTAAAATATATTGTATCTTCGGATATCATATCATATTTTTTAACCACAGATTGTTAAAGGTAGGGTAGGTAAGTTTGAGAAACCGGCTCGAGATACACTTTTTGTTATATTCCATGGAATGCTCTTAACATCCCGATAGCAATGAATATCTTAAGTGCTTAAAAAATGTCATCTGTGGAAGCCGTAGTACTGTAAAAAGTACGACCAATCATTTGAGCCGGGCCGGCTAAAATAACTGGATGGCCTACCTGCCTTGTCAGCAGTGACGTGCGGTGAGGTTCATGGCTGGTGAGGCACTGACTCTTTCAGTCAGATTTACAAATATTATAGCCTATTTTGACCTTAATCGAAATATTCTGTTATTTTCAAAAGCTTTTTTAGTCTGATGCTATGATTAATTTTAAACAGACCGATCAACAAAAGGATACCCAAAATCTAAATATTGGATTGTTCTTTCTAAGTAAGATCCCATTTTAATTACAGTTGTGGTCTTACCTTGACTTGAAGATGAATATAAGTCCATGCTATCCTTCTGGACAACAATCTCTATTACTGTTTTGTAAAAGTCCTCCGTATCTAACTGTAGTTTCAAAAGTTTTGTTTGTTGTTTGCGGTAGAATAACAGTAGCAACAAGAACCTGTGGGCTCACGTGCGCCCCCTTCAGTGCGGCAGAGGTTATGGCTGCCTCCCCATGTAATTGTTTCATTGCCGTTGTATGATAAGACCAGCGAGCCTAAATATGATATATACGTGAAATAAGTTATTTAGAGACTATGGATGGCGAGGATAAATGTAATAAAGGGATCTACAAACATCACATTGGTGACCTACAGTGAGATGGTAACAGGCATGCGCTTAGGGCCCGCTTTCCAGCCAGTTTCTGTGGGGTGACACATTCTGAATTGAGGCAGAGCTCATCTGTGCCTCCCCTCAGAATGCGTCACCCCACAGTAAATGGCTTGAGCGCGCTCACAAAATAAGTGGCCCCGCTAAATTAGTGCCCGCGCTCCAGCAAGTTACTGTGGGCTTACGTGAGGCAGTGCTCGTGCTTGCCTCACTTCTCATCGCTCCCGTAGCGGAGCTCGGCAAATTTGCTGATTTTGACTATAAAATGCGATTGGAATCATACAGAAATCACATTTACACAAGATCAGTGGAGACATTTTATTATTATTATTATTTAGTTTTTCTTTAATTGTTTTTCCGTTACATTGGAGTATGACAGGTGAGGCTCTGCCTCCCCTGCCTCCACTGACTGCACGTCGCTGCTTGTCAGCCTTCCATCTGTGCACAAATTTATCTCGGTCCTGTGCGCGTTCGTGTGTGTTGGAGGAGGGGCTCTATAAGGAAGTGGCAGATTTTCTCCGGTTGTGTATTTTCAAATTCTAGCGATCTCGAGCCGGTTTCTCAAACTTACCTGCCCTACCTTTAACCATGGTTTCTACGTTTACGCTCTTTTCTAAACCCTGTGTGAAGTGGCCTGGGACGATTGAAAACAAGAGCTGATTTCTAAACGTGTTCATCACAGATCTACCATAACCTGGACAGAGAGTGTGTTGTACAGATCTACTATTGCGCAGTTACCATTCCGCGCAGCTTTTGACGCTCTCAAACGTCTGTGTTATGAGCTATGGTTATGAGACGTGTTTTGTAAGGCTCACATTTGGTTGCCAAACGGGCGTGTTACACAAACTGTACACTGACAGAGAGGA